CAATTGAGCCCGAAACATCTGTCGTTGAGTGAGACATTTCTTAAGTGAGTTTTGCTTCATATTACAACCTTCTTCGCCACAGTTGTTCAGTGAATCACTGCAGTTAATGTTAGTTAACGTGGTTGTTAAATGAATCTGGCTTCCCCATTTGGTTCTGCTCGATCCGAAGTTCAGCAAAAATTCATCCCATAACCTTGGGACAACTGCAACGGTCATAAGTATGAAACAGTTGCCAGACGTCTGAGTTTTGATCACATGACCCTGGGGGATGCCGCGAAGGTCATAACTGAAAAATGGTCATTTTTTTCCCCAGTGATGATGTAACTTTGAACAGACAAAGAACTATATTAGTCTGTAGAGATTCTCCGTCATCCAGGTCAAAGGTGCTTTTTCAGGATGCAACTGGACTTCCTTGGTTTTTAATTTGAAGATGTTTCGTTTCCCATCAGGAAAGTCCAGTTTACAAGAAAGTTGCCTCCTGAGAAAAGCAGCTTTTGGGCCAACTGTCACCTGGAGGACTGAGAATCTCTACGGACTTTCAGCTGTACAATTTGGGATGGACACCCTTGGAATGGTGTGGGAGAAGGAACGGATTTCCAGAGGGGAAGGAAATTGCAGACTACGGGGAGCCATTAAGCATCACTCAGGTGACCTCCTGAGGACACAGGGAAAAAAAAACAACTCCAGGTGGCCTCAACGACCCTCTAAAAGGATGGAAATGACCAGGTGTCTGTAAGGAATATAAATCCTTCCCTTCCCCAATATGCCTTCAGAACCGAAGAAGCTTCTTATTTATCTATTTTTATTTATTTTTAATTAGTCAAGAAGGAAACAAGTAGGAAAAACACATGGAAAAACGGCACAAATAAATGGGTATAAATAAGCAAAACTTAGCCATAAGCACATAAAAGGAGGAGATATAAATGGGACAGTGGGACAGGGATAGTAGGCACGCTGGTGCGCTTATGCAGGCCCCCTTAAGAAACGCATAGGTGTAAGGTAAAAGGTATGGAAGTGGGGGG